GGGACTTTAATTTTATTCTAATTGTAATGGCTCACCATTGTAGGGATTTAATCTTGGGGGTGACAAGATTCTATTTGTGTTGGAGAAAGATCACCTTTGCTGCTGCATAGAAATTGAAATGTTAGGCAGCCCTAGCAAACTAATACCTGAGACAAAGAAAGGAATCAAGGATCATGCCTGGGTTTTTGGCTTGAGAAACTGAATATTTAGACATATTATTACCAGGATGAGTAAGGCTGAGGAAGAAACAATTTGGGGTATACATGGGTGTGTTGGTGGTGGGGAAAACAGAAGAGTGAAATTTAGTAGTTAAAACTACATGTTTGAGATGCCTATCCACATGCAAGAAAATATATCAAGTAGGCAGTGGTATATGTAAACCTAGAAAATTTAGAAGTGGTTATACAAATGGTTCAAATAAAGGAATTTAGAACCATTCCTCATCACTTCTGGATGTCAACACAAAGAGCTGGTTATACAGAACTAATATCATTTATCAATGTTGGTAAGTTGGACTATGATTTGTATATTATTTGTGCTGAAGGGAACTATGTGATGCATGATTTCTGGGTCTCAAAGATCAACAGATCTTGGACAGACACAGTAAGGTCAGATGTCCCCTTGAAATCCATTCCAAATTAGGAGCAGTTGTGACATTCTGAAAAAACTGTACTGGATTAGATGTCATGAGATGTGGCTTTGGATTTGAACTGTGCCCTTTCTGGATGAGTGTGTAATCCTGGATTAATCTCTAAGACTCAGATTTTTCAACCATTTTATAATGATTCGTATTAGGGGCGATTTCACTCCATTTAGGACATTTTTGAAATTTGCAGGGGCAGTTTTTGTTGTTGTATGAGTGGGGAGTACTAGACATTAGATACCCTGTAAAGTCCTATACAATGATTTGTCCAATATTTCAAGCAACTTTTGAAACCCAGTGGTTGTGTATTTGTAGGTAAAAAACCCAAAGAGGTCCTAAACATTACAATGGGGCTACAGTGGTTAAGATATATTTTTTGTATGTGTATGTAAGTTATAGTGTCTATAAATTTCACTTCAGGACTGTAAATAGAGCATTGTAAAATACTTACTATTAAAAGGGGGACATTGCATTGGATTGTGTTGAGGACTATTGACTTCTAAGATCTTGATCAGAAGGGCCATCAGAGAGACCACTTGGCTGAAGACTCATATTCATAAAGAACCTCACATTTATTCTTTTGATGTTGTCTCCAAATGAGATTCACAATGATAGAACTGAAAGACGTTTTCTATCTTAAAACATTGAATTTGCAGCTGTGACTTAGGGTACAGCTAGGGTATTATGAATTCCTATTTTTGTAATAAAACCTATAATTATCTTGTGAATATATATGTAATATTGTGTCATATCTTTTGCTTTAAAGTTTTAGTTTGTCCTGTATAAACTTTTAAAATAAATTACAGTTTTTATAATATTTTTGACATTTCTTCATTTAAAAAATTGTTCTGATAGAAAAAAGTCTCAGGCTTCTCTTGACTTCTGAGAAGCCCTGGTGATAAGACCTGTGTTAAAGGGTTATTCTGAATATTAATTAAGCTTCAATACTTTAATTAAACTCTAACATAGCAGATGCTAGCAATTTCTGAAAACCTTGGGCAACTGAGAACACAGAGGCTGGATTTCTACAAAAAATTAGAAGTTTTTGCTTGCTCAAGGCAAAGTTAGATTTTTTTTTTTTTTCAGTTCTCTGTTACATACCAGACTGTACCTGACTGAAGACAGGGACCATATCTAACTCAGCATCTTCATCACAGCATGTAGCATGGTTGTGTCTAGGGGAGCATGCTCACTTCTTGGAAGACAGTTTGGGGTTAGCATGTGGGACACCATCCCAGAAGATCCAAGAGGCCTTCAAAGTGAATACTCCTGCCTCCAATCATTTCTGCTGAAGGAAAAGGAAAAAGGAAGAAGGAAGGGGAAGAGGGAGTATGAAGAAGTTAGAGAAAGAAGAAAAGAAGGAAGAATAGTAACAGAGAAGAAAGAAGAGGAAGATAAAGAGGAAGACAGGAAGGAGAAGAGGAAGTGAAGAAGGTTGGTAGGTAAATACACTGAAGACTGACTTTGGTCTCAGTATTTGGCTAAAAACTGCTACTTGGCTTCAGAAGCTGGAAACCTCTGAATGGCTGAATTGCCGAAATCCATTTCAAGGTCCTTCCTCCCATTGCGGAATGTGTGTGTGGCCAGTAATCCTGTGATCCTGCAGGTCAGCTTCATATCTAATCAGCATAGCTATGGCAGCTGTACAAAAATAATTTTATTTGCTTTTATTTTTAATATCTGACTATGCACTTTTAAGAACTGGTAAGAATTTCTAGACGAAACTGGGAGTGAAAAAAATCTTTTGTGCTTCATCTGTTCAAATTGTGTGTCAGTTGAAATACACACACACACACACACACATATTTAGTCTTATCAGAGTAACATGTGGAATCGAATGATTGAGAATTACTGTTATGTACCAAAGTAATTAAGACATTGATAATAGTTCAGTTTAGTATGGGAATAGATAGATGTTAATAGGACTATTAAGAGAGTATGTTGGCTACAGTAGTTTAGGAAGAATATTAATGAGCCAATTAATGTTTACAAAAACTTAAAGAATCATAAGAAGAATAAAAGAAACTGTATCATATCAATTTTAATCTTCAATTTATTTTGCATACTAGCATTTATAACATGAAACAAAATAAATTTTATGTGCTGTATTTAATTTGTTTGCTTGATTCCATTTGGGCCACAGGGTTTCAAGAAAAGTTCTGTTTCACTTGGGAATATTTGGGAATACTTCACATCTGTGAGAAGACCTTAAAAGCAGAATATTATTTTGCTACCTTAAACAATAAGGAAAAGGGAACGATTTAAAGTTGTGTACAACATCCATAATATATCTTAGCTCCAAAGATTAAAATATCAAGAGAATTGAAAAAAAAAAGAAAGGAAGAAAGTGTTAGAGAAAAATGTGATCTCCTTCTCCTCTTGTTGCTCTAATGGCTTCAGTTAGACATTTTGTAAGGAGTATTTCATAAGGAGTATGGATTCCAGGATTTTGTAAGGAGTATTTCGTCTAAAGAAGCATAATAGAGAAAGGAATAATGAATAAGAAAGATAAAATGGTATTTCCCCCCAAATTTGCCCCTTTATTTTTGTGCTTCATCTGTTCAAATTGTGTGTCAGTTGAAATACACACACACACACACACACATATTTAGTCTTATCAGAGTAACATGTGGAATCGAATGATTGAGAATTACTGTTATGTACCAAAGTAATTAAGACATTGATAATAGTTCAGTTTAGTATGGGAATAGATAGATGTTAATAGGACTATTAAGAGAGTATGTTGGCTACAGTAGTTTAGGAAGAATATTAATGAGCCAATTAATGTTTACAAAAACTTAAAGAATCATAAGAAGAATAAAAGAAACTGTATCATATCAATTTTAATCTTCAATTTATTTTGCATACTAGCATTTATAACATGAAACAAAATAAATTTTATGTGCTGTATTTAATTTGTTTGCTTGATTCCATTTGGGCCACAGGGTTTCAAGAAAAGTTCTGTTTCACTTGGGAATATTTGGGAATACTTCACATCTGTGAGAAGACCTTAAAAGCAGAATATTATTTTGCTACCTTAAACAATAAGGAAAAGGGAACGATTTAAAGTTGTGTACAACATCCATAATATATCTTAGCTCCAAAGATTAAAATATCAAGAGAATTGAAAAAAAAAAGAAAGGAAGAAAGTGTTAGAGAAAAATGTGATCTCCTTCTCCTCTTGTTGCTCTAATGGCTTCAGTTAGACATTTTGTAAGGAGTATTTCATAAGGAGTATGGATTCCAGGATTTTGTAAGGAGTATTTCGTCTAAAGAAGCATAATAGAGAAAGGAATAATGAATAAGAAAGATAAAATGGTATTTCCCCCCAAATTTGTGACTGCCCCTTTATAACCAAGTATAGCACAAGATTTTTTTTTTTTTTTAAATAAAGTCTGTTTGGGGAAAAAAAAAAGAAATGAAGGTGTAGTAAGAAATATGGAGTTTAACAACATGCAGAGCCCTCTGGTGGCTGGTGATGCTGACAGATTATTTTATCTGCTCCATAATGTCAAACTTGAAAATCTTTAGCTATCAAAATTTAACTGTAACATGTAATAATACTTAAAAAAATAAAATTTTAGATTTATTCTGGCACCCCATTCTATAAGGGTATATAATTTTATATGATCCGTATCAGGTTTTATTAGGCTTGGGTCATAGCTTTGGCTAAATATTTAATTTTTTAAAAGACCGTCCATTCAGTTAAAAGGCATATTTGGTGCTCTACTCATTATTATTGTTATTGTTGTCATTATTTTGCTGCTACATGTTGGAAAGTTGGTTCCTTATTGAGAATCTAAATAAAATGAGTTACTTCTTGCTAACTTTCATTATAAATGGGGTCTCCATGCTATGTTTCTTGGCCAGGGGACAGGAGGAATCGCCTGGAGGACAGAAATAGAATATAATAGCCAAATTCTCCCCTTGATCCACTGCAAATAGTTTGTAGAAGTAGGCTGGGACTATCATATTGCAGCTACTCTGCTTAATCTGTTCTTTGTTTAGATTTGAAATACATATTTCAAACGTTGTTTAAGGAGAAAAGGAATCATGTCAAATGTTTCAGGAGATGATTTAGGTTAGAGATAAAGAGCATATATGTAATTATGAAATGTTATGGAAATGTTATGGAATTATGAAATGTTAGTGGAACCTGAAGAGATTTGATTAATGTTCTTTAGATCCTGACATGATTCTTACAGGGGCTTATTTAAAGGCCTAGAAATAGTACTGTCTTACTGACTAATGCCTGCTAAATAGGAAAGTAGGAGGTGTGCAATTCCTAATTTTTAAATAGCAAAGTTTCTTCCCAGGTAGTGTTAGTAACTTGCAGAATCCTAGATGGAATGATGATTTAGAACAACACAAGGAAAGCAGCAATTGACAGAACAGAAATAAGAACGGGCCTGAACCAACTGCAAAATAAGCAAGGCTTCAGAGGACTCCCAACAATTCTTGTCGTCGTGGGTTTCAACGTCCGGTCCCACTGGGTCAGGATGGCATTTCTGGCTCCTGGCCACTTCCCCGGGCCCACCAGCCTAAACTGATACGAGCTGCAAGGGCCAAAGTAAACCTCCAAGGCCAACTTTGGATCTGTGAGAAACAGCCATGGGATGTTGGGCTTTGCCCCAATGAAGGAGGCAAGTTCATCCATATAAACGATATAATCCGTCTGTATGGTATTGCTTTTGCCAAACCTAGGGGCGGGAGAGGAAACAAGACTGTGGTCATCCACGCTTTGTATAGGAACAAGAACAGGGAGAATGCCTCACACCTTTTTATCCATGGGAATCAGCATCTATCCTTTGTGTTGGTAAGGGGACTATTGCTCATTATCCTGTACTTTGTAGTTGTTACTAAAGGACTTTCATACTGATCTCATTTGGACATTCCACAACACGGCAAGGCAGCTGAGAAAGGCATTTTTATTCACATTTACAAGTAGGTAAATTGTCTCTTGCTCAAGTGAGGTTATTACTTCATGGCCACCGAGCTAATTAGTGACAGAGGTAGGACTGGAGCCCGGTTCTTCTGACTAGTTCTCATTTTATTAGAGCCATCTGTTGGAAGGCATCCTTTACATCTTAGAGGATTTATGGGCTAGAAAATTGAAGTCCACATCCGCATGTTCCCAAACTCCTCTAACTTCTAATCTTTCTGGGTTTCCTTTCTATGGCATACTGCAGGAGCTATGGAGGGTTAAAACAGGATTTAGTGGGGTATCAGGTGCAAAATAGATCCTGGATGTAAATATTTGTTGAATGGCTGAATTTAGCTCATAGCTGTCTCCGTAATGACCTCACTCAGGGCCATTTAAAACTAAAACAGTCCCAAGTATTCACAAATTCTGCTTTTTCTATGAAAATTCTACATCTCCTTTACAATAGCTGCTCTTACCATTTGAGCTTTTTCCCCATTTTTTCATCAATATCATTCATCATGTCCTTGACAGAAGGCAAAGTGCAAGTTCCTATAAAAAGGGAAAGACATGATAGTAGTTAAATAAGTCTGGCGCAGGACCAGCTTGCATTGTTTCCTTTTTAATAGTGAGTTATGAATCACATTAGTATTTCCAAATTTTTTGTCACTGTCTAGCAAAATAAAATTTTGAGACAAACATACAGGTCATTCCCAATCTTCTCAGTGATGATACTCGTCACAATAATTAAAAGCCATTACCCAAATAATTTTTTATCTTTGTATCTTTGTACTTAAACCAGTTATCGGATTTAAAAAATCAGTTTCAAAATATTAGATTATATATTCTAATCTCTCAGCTTTATTTTTAAGTATGTTATCTAATAAATTATAGCCAAAGGTAAATAGGCATCTCTTTTTTAAGATTTAAGAAAAAAAATCTTCATAGGAAGTTATCTTGCTTTGCCAGGAAAGGGAATTTCCAGCAGATAAGGTAGAGAATTTAGTGAAGCCGCAAGGTTCTCTCTGAAAAGCCAATAGCTCCTGAATGAGACTGAGGATATGTACTGTCCATAAGTCACCAAGGATATAGGGAAGTCCCAGGAGACCAAATCTGAGTTGGGGCTGCCTCAAGATTTCAGGCTCTTTCTGGCATCAATTTACAGAATTCTCTGAAATCTAGACCCAAACTTTTGTACCCAGAGATGCTTCAAATTAGTGTGGTTTCTTTGGCAATTCTGGGATCACCTGGAACCACACTAGAATTCCCAGCCTATCTCTGATTGCTCAAGACTTACAATGACTTGCCTAACTCCCTATTCCAGAAATCCTTATAGGCAGGATCTTGTGAACAGTCTGTAGACATGGCCTTGTTTCAAACCTCGGAACTCATTCTGTCCTTGGGCAGGAGGAGAGATGGAGAAGAGGCTATATTCTGTAGCCTACCAGCCATTGCCATTGGGCTGCTTGTAGCTGACCCCTCTGTCCTGGTAGCCTGGTTCCCCCAAATTGGATTGTTTGCCTTATCTTCCATTTCCCCCAAGACTGAGTCTTTGCCTTGTGCATCAGTTCTCTGTTGATTGGGTATCTGCCTTGTCTCCTTTCTTTAGAGCCCAGGTTACAACTCTTGTCCACACAGAGAGTAAGTGGCCCACATTTTAATGCCAGTCTCATTGAACCTGGACCCTGAGCCTAGCTCTTTCTAAGTAGAATTTCATGCCCTCACCTTCCTGGCTGCTGCCTCACTGAAGTAACATCATCCTGCAACACATCTCTGCTTGGGGACCGGGGAGTGAAGGAGATTCAGAGAGATCACTGATATGAAGGACTGTAATGATGTGGATAGTAGCCTGGTGGTGGGCGATGATGCAGGCTATGTAGTTGCAGGTTCCAACCACCAGTATAAAAGAACATGTAAACCCCAGCAAGTCAGGTAGGACTGGAAGCCTTAGATGTGGCTTCAAAGGAAGCAGACCAGCTAACATTCCTTATCCATAATTTTCATACCTTTAAGACCAACTAAACTTTGCACACTAAACTTTGACATCTCTATTTGTTCTTTAACAATGGTCCTGTTTGGTCTTATTATCTGAATTGGCCCAGGACTGCATTTAAAGCTTAGCGTGAATCTGATCCCAGTGCCTAGGGCTGGATGATGCTGTCTGCCTTCTTTGCTTGGCCCCAATCAAGTTTGTTGTTTCCTTTTTCTTTTTAAAATACAGGGATTTAGTATTCCTTAGAGACTGACTGTCTACCACACCAAGTGCTTTCTGCTTCTAATGATCCATGGCAGGGAAGAAAATAGAGCAGGAAATCCACTTCCTCTCTAGCAATGATAAATTTTTTTCATGACTGTGGATGTTTAGAGTTGGCTGGATATTGGCTTTGAAACATCTTTTATTAACCTTTCAAGAAATGTCATTCTATTGAGTTTTGAAATCTTAATTTTATAAAGTTGTCATGCATTTAAGATGAGAATCTCTGGTGTTCTCAAGTTTAATGAAAGGTCTTGGGTAATTAACAGTTCTAAGGAGTTATTAATCACAAACTACTCTTTGAATAATATCTTGTACTGTTGTTTATGACAATCCAATGTAATATATTTTAAATTGCTTATAAAATATAGTACTAAAAATGTAGAATTATAGATTCTGGAAACTGGATGGGACCTAGGATTTGTCCCTTGTTATTAGGATTATTGTTTTCACAAAGACTCAAAGCCATTCTCATTGGCTTCCATCTTTCCCATCAATGAGCTTCTTTGTCTCCTTACCCTTTATTACTCGTACTGCCCAGCGAGACTGCAGGTCAGTTGTGGGGATGACAGCTCCAAGGGACTGGACAAGGCCAATCACTGCCATGGTTGGCTTCTCCAGTGAAGGTGGGAAGATGCCTTTAAATAAGGTGACCTCGTTGTCTCTGCTCTTAATGATGGAGTCATCAAGGAAGGGGTAGGCGTAACTATAGCCTGTTGCAAAGATGACACAGTCAATGGCCTCAAACACTGTCCCATCCTCAAAAATGGCCGAAGTCTCTGTAAACTCCTCCACATTTGGCTTAATGGTCACAGTGCCACATAGAATGCGAGCCGGGAGCTCATCATTGAACACGGGCTCTTTCCTCAGAGTGCTGTATGGAAAACAGAGATGACCATTAGAACAGTAACATTTCCTGTTTCTTTTATTGGTCCATAATAATTAATTAATGATTGTTAATAGTTAATTAGTAGGGAAGGAGAAAACGACTCAAGATTTTGTAATGTGCCATGGGGTGTCACCAATATGGTTGAAGAACAAAACTGATGTAAGGCAACATTGTGGAGTAAGAGAAGTTGTTTTCTTTGCCGATCCCTTCTCTATTTCCTGTGATCTTTCTCTTCTTTTCCACAGAGCTCTCTCTAAATCCCAGAATAAGCACCCAGGCCCTTTCCCCTGTTAAAACCTATATCAGGAAAAACTCTTTAAAGTCAGAGTACCTGGGTCTTTAAATTTTTTTCTTTGCTACTTATCAACTGTGAACCTTGATCAAATTAAGGTTTCTTAATTTCTCTTGCCTCATGTTTCTCATCTGGAGTGGCAGTAAAGTTATACCTACCGCAGGTCATTGGGAGACCTAAGTAATATAAAGAATTTGGCATAGTTTGTAGCACGTACATAGTGCTCGAAATGTTAGCCATTATTCCTAACATAGCATACTCGAAAGTGGTCATCGTGGTGTAAAGAAGATCAAATAGGTGGAAGGAAGCTAAAGGTGGGAAGACTGCAGTCAGGTTCTATCATAAAATGTGAAGTGTGAGCCCTGTGCAGACAAAGGCTAAAGTCAGGTGAGGGAGGGAGCATCTAGGAATTTAAATAAGGCCAGGAGAAGGAAGAGGCCCCTGGAAACCTGGAAAGAGAGAGCTTCTGATTACTTTTTATTAAGTAACATCTCTAGTGAGTGCACATAAATCTGAACTTAGGGGTGAACTGAATAGTGTTGAAGGAAAAGACTTTGTTCTTACAGGACGGTGAGAGCTGTGAGAGAGCCATAGGTAGACTCCACTGGGGAGGAAACTGAGCCAGACAATGAGATTGGTTGGAATGCTGATTGGAAAAAGGCTGGATTCAACTGCTCCAATTACCTGCCATTTATCTTAAACCCACTGCCATGTTGAAACTTCATTTGTCAAGGCCACCAGGATCTTCAAGCTGCCAGATCCCATGGTCTACTCTCACTCCTCATTTTACTCAACTTACTAGCAGCATTTGACACACTTGATGGTGTCCTTCTCCATGAAACACTGTCTTCATTTTACTTTCAGGTCATCACTCACTCTTGATTCCTTTCTACCTACCTCACTCTTCTTTCTCAGTGTCTCCTGATGAATTCTTCTCCTCTTCCTGACCTCTAAATGATGATGTGCCCCAGGACTCAGCCCTCATACCTTTTGTTTTCTCCATCTCCATTTATTCTTCAAGAGACGTCATCTAGTTTTCTTTTCTTTAAGTACTATCTATATTCCGACCAGTCCATATTTCTATTGTTGTTGTTGTTGTTTCAGTTCACATTTTAAACTTATGGTTTGGATGTCTCTTCTGTCTTGTGTATCCCACTGCTTTTCCACATTTTTCTGTGCGAATGTCGAATAGACATTCCAACTTTGATACGTTTAAAACTAAATTTCTGCTCCTCCCATGGTTTTCCACGTCTCAATAGATGTCACCTCCATCCTTGCCCTCTTGCTCAGATCAAAAGTCTGGAAGACATCCTTGACCCTTCTTTTGCTTTCACATCTGTTTCACATTCAATCTAACAGAAAATCCTGTTTGGGTTTACCTTCAAACTGTATCCAAAATCTGACCACTTCTGAGCACTGACGATCATAGCTCAAGCCACCTACCCCTCTCATCTGGATTTTTGACAATAGCCTCTTTTTTTAAATTTATTTTTTTTATACAGCAGGTTCTTATTAGTTATGTTTTATACATATTAGTGTATACATGTCAATCCCAATCTCCCAATTCATTCCACTACCACCACCACCACCCCTGCTTCCATACATTTGTTCTCTACATCTGTGTCTCTATTTCTGCCTTGCAAACCGGTTCATCTGTACCATTTTTCTAGATTCCACATATATGCGTTCATATACGATACTTGTTTTTCTCTTTTCTGACTTTCACTCTGTATGACAGTCTCTAGGTCCATCCACGTCTCTACAAATGACCCAGTTTCATTCCTTTTTATGGCTGAGTAATATTCCATTGTATATATGTACCACATCTTCTTTATCCATTTGCCTGTCGATGGGCATTTAGGTTGCTTCCATGACCTGGCTATTGTAAATAGTGCTGCAATGAACATTGGGATGCATGTGTCTTCTTGAATGATGGTTTTCTCTGCGTATATGCCCAGGTAGTGGGATTGCTGGGTCATATGGTAATTCTATTTTTAGTTTTTTAAGGAACCTCCATACTGTTCTCCATAGTGGTTGTATCAATTTACATTCCCACCAACAGTGCAGGAGGGTTCCCTTTTCTCCACACCCTCTCCAGCATTTGTTGTTTGTAGATTTTCTGATGATGCTGATTCTAACTGGTGTGAGGTGATACCTCATTGCAGTTTTGATTTGCATTTGTCTAATAATTAGTGATGTTGAGCAGCTTTTCATGTGTCTCTTGGCCGTCTGTATGTCTTCTTTGGAGAAACGACTATTTAGGTCTTCTGCCTATTTTTTGATTGGGTTGTTTGCTTTTTTAATACTGAGCTGCATGAACTGTTTATATATTTTGGAGATTAATCCTTTGTCCATTGATTCATTTGCAAATATTTTCTCACATTCTGAAGGTTGTCTTTTCATCTTGTTTATAGTTTCCTTTGCTGTGCAAAAGGTTTTGTTTCATTAGGTCCCGTTTGTTTATTTTTGTTTTTATTTCCATTGCTCTAGGAGGTGGGTCTAAAAAGATCTTGTTTTGATTTATATCAGAGAATGTAAACTCTTAGAGGAAAACATAGGAACAACACTCTTTGACAATAGCCTCTTACCCAGTGTTTCCACTTCCTTCCTTGACCCACCCATCTATAATGAGTGATGACCATAAAAGCCAAAGTGATCTCTTCAAATTAACTTAGATTTTGTCTTCAGTTTACTCAGATGCCTGCAATGTCTTCCCACTGTATTCAGAGTAAAGGCCAGACTCCTTACAGTGGCCTACAAGACCCAACGTCAACTGGCTATTTTGATGTCTCTAGTTTCATTTCCTGCTACTCTCCAGAGCCCTCTTCTCCAGGAAGAGCAGCTCATTGTAGTTTGTTGAACATACCAGTCATACCCCTGAAGAGGTGGTGTCCTAGCTGTTCCCATTGTCCAGAATACTCTTCTCCAGATATCCTCATGGCTCATTTTCTTATCTGTTTCAGGGATTTGCTTAAAAGTTTTCTCAGTGAGACCTCCCCTGCGGAGTGTTTAAAATTGTCCTGATGGCACTCCCTGTTACCCTTGCTTGCTTTGTTTTTCCTCCCTGATACATGTCATCGTATGATTTTCTGCTATTTGTTTATTGTCTGTTTCCCACTACTAGAATGTGGGACAGGGATTTTATGTGTTTGTTCACTGCTATATCCACAGGATTTAACACAGGTCCTGGCACATAATAAATGCTTAATAAATATTTGTTGAATTAATGAATTAACTTTGATGTAAACAGCTTATAACGGGTTTTTCACCCACGTCAAAGTAATTTCTTATCATGTGACTGGCTTGGGGGATGTTATAGGAGAGAGTGAGGAGGAGGCTGAAGATGTAAACATTGTGGCCATAGTTCAGTGTGAGGGCTCCATTAAGGGGCAGGTGTTGAGAGCGAAGCACAGGGAAAGTTTTGCTTTGCTTAACTTTGTCATTAAGAAAGAGGCAGTAGAGCAAGGTGGCTAAGAGCGAGGGACTCTAGAGTCAGCAAATCTGGACATGGCTTTAACTTCCTGGCTGTGCGGCTTTGGTAAAGTTAACTACATTGAACCACAGTTTTCTCGTCTCTGAAATGAAGATTGTAACAGAGCCATCCTCATAGTTGTTGTGAGAATAAAGGGAGATAATGCGTGTCAGAGACTCTGACATGTACTAAGGGCTTAAAACATGTTGACTACTATTATCATAACTCTAGGGACTAATTCCTGAGGTATTGATATTATATAACTTTGCAGCTGTGCAAATCTGGTAAGGAGGATTGTGAATAGGAAAATACCCCTAACTTTTGCAATTCTTGATCCTCTGAAAAGTGAGAGGTGATTACTTCACTTTGATTTGTTTAGGGGTTACAACACACATTAGGGTTGTTGACACTGAAATAAAAAGTAGGCATATCATGTTTAACTCTACTTTACCCATTTAAAGGCATCAAGCCATAGTTCTCATGCTTGAATCTTGCATTCATTTGCTTCACATACCACCAGTCAGAGATGACTGTTGGTAAGTTGTTGTTGAGGAAGGTTTCAAATCGAGTGATAAACATCATGTCCCATGGATAGCCACCATGCCAGACCCGGCTCATCACCCAGGAGCCACTTCTGGAGCTGACGATGACCTTAAAAAACACCATTTCAGCCATTAAAGTGGTGACCATTTGTACTGGATATTGTGATATATCCCCCAGATCTGCCTTTAGGAATGGAGTTATTATAACAGCTTCTGGGAGTGTTGCCAGAAGGCAACCCTCAGCTGTCAGCCCTCTTTGGCAGTTACTTTGGTAACTTAATACTCTTTTTGGATTCCCTGCATTCAGTGACTGGTTAATGGGAGGATATAAAGGCCCAGCCTCTCACGTCAACTAGAGACAATTCTAAAGGATTATCCTAGCTTCAGAGTAAGTGAAGGAAAACTTCTTTCCCTTCCCTCAGAGGTATTCATCCAGGGAGCTCTCCCAAATAAACTTCCTGCATTATAATCTACATCTAAGGATCAACACTCTGTCATACTCCTCCAGGCAAATTTTCATATTTTAATCAAATCTTCTCTGGTGTTGATGACCAATAACTGAATTCTAGTCATATTTCTTCTAGTGCTTATCTGATGATCCCAAAATGATCCCACTAGTTTCGGAGGAATTTACTGGACACATGTTAGACACTAAATGTCCCAAAGAAGAAGATTGTTGAATGACAACATCACTCCTTGCTGATGTTCTGCGTTTGCCATACAAGCTATTTAAAATTTCACAAGTTACCAGGGAAGTTGAGCTACATGAAACACTACTTAGTCTTCCTATCAGGCACCCTGCTCTTCTCCCGTTTTGTTATCACACCTTTCAAATAGTGTGTCTGTCCCTTTAAAGAACTCCCTTAGTATCTGGGAGGCGTACCTGTTCAGCTGTGTGGCTGAGTTCTGAGGCAATATCACAGCCTGAATTCCCCAGGCCAATCACCAGGACTCGCTTCCCCTTGAATATTCCTGGTTCTTTATAGTCCCAGCTGTGGAAGCATTTGCCTTTAAAAAGTTGTAGACCTGAGTGAAAAGTGGGAAACATATGAATCTTTTCATTTAAAAGCTGCTGTAACAGATCTTGTGGGTGAATATAGTTGCAGTAATCTGGAATTTTAGCACACCAGGTATGTTAGATACAATAGAAGCATATTTTAATTTAATGTGTACTTTTATAAATTGTACTTTTATATATGTAAGAAAGACATTATCAAGGTTATTCATTCATGTCAGATTTGTAGATGGCACCCTAAATTTTGGCCTTACCTTGAAAGGACTCTTTTGGTAGGTTGGGGTACACATGATGTCCAGAACAAATCATTACAGCATCAAAGACAGCTGATTCTTTTTTACCATCCTTTTCAGTGGTAACGTCCCATTGGCCAGTGACTGAGAAATCAGGACGTTTATTTACACTGGATACAAGTGTCTAAGAGAAACAGAAAGATAGCCTTCTTGTTTTCTATGCTAACAGGTAGGTTTGGCACCGACTTGATCAAATAGGATGAAAAAAATCTTTAATAGTGTCTTAGGAAAAATACTTAATTCATTATGAAGGTACATATTACAAATTCAAAATTCCTTCAGAATAATTCAAAACATTAAATGGTCTGTATGTTTTTTATCCCCACATGGTTCCTTGTGTATGACCAGAATTTTCTGCAGTAGAAGAGTGATTCCTTTCGGAGCTATGACAGTGAATTGAATCATAGTTTACAAGAGGCATGTAGCACATGTAGTAAATAATCTGGTGGCCAATAATTTTTGTAGTAACAACATTTCCTAAAGTATTTCAATAGCCATTTTATTTTTAACATTATTGTCTTAAAATGAAAGATGTTGTCTATATTCAGAGCATAAGTTCTTCTCAAATTTTAGTGTGTGTAAGGATTACCCGAAAAACCTTAGGAATCAGGATTGTGCCTGCAGCCTGGGGAGGGAGCTGTGAAGGAGGAAAGGTTCCCACACCTTGGGAAGGCTCCTCACCAGTGGAGAAATTAGACTGGATGGAGGGGGAGTTTCAGAGCCTAAAAGGAGAAAGCAGCCCCAGCCCCAGCTTATTTTCTAATATGAGCATTTAAGCTTATAATTTTCATGAGAGTTTTGCTCTCTCTGCTTCCCACAAATACCGATATGTAGAATTTAAATTATCATTCAGCTCTAAATATTTTAAAATTTCCATTGCATTTTCTTTTTTGAACCATAAATTGTTTAGAAAAAAGAGTTCTTAAATTAATGGAATGTGGTCAAGTTTTGTAAATTTCCTACGTATTCTTGAGAAGAATGTGTATTCTCTAAATCTAGGGTCAGAGAAGCCACATTGTTAAAAACGTTGACAAGTAAGAAAGAGACACTGAAAGGAACTAATGGGAATCTACTAATAAAAAGAAAATTCCTCACAGTAATGCCCTGAATTAATTTCTTGATAATATCTTACCTTAAGTTGAATGTATCTCAGGAGGTTCTTTTCTTTGGCAAACGCAGTGATGTATTCCTGGAGCTTACTGTTATGCATAAAGTTGGGAAAGTCATCAGGAAAAGGGAAGTCTGGAAAACATGTCATCTCTTTGGAAGAGTTGGTAAAGACTGACCGATAAATGCTGGCCCTGCCTTCCTCGGCATGGTCCTGTGAAAGTATGGTTTTAAATGGAAGAGAGTTTGTGAATGAGTATACTTATCACGGTCAGGGCCAGTTCCAAATAATTACCACTCATTTTCAGTCGGCCTTTACCCACAAGTAAGTGAAATAAGATGAGGCATAAATTAACTTCGCTTAAACAATTTGATGATAATCAAAGGAACTTAGAATGTGGAAAAATATATCTTTCTTAACATCTTTGCTTTTCTAAGGGAAACAAATTCTGAATTTCATCATGTCCTTTAAAGAACATGTGACTGGAATAATTTTATTCCTTTTAGCCATTAAATACAGTGATAGATATTTTCCAAAATTCACCCATGCATGATTTCAATGTGTCAGCACATAAGCATGGACAAACAAAATGTGATATATACATACAGTGGAGTATTATTCAGCCTTAAAAAGAAAGGAAATTCTGACATATGCTGTGATAGGCATTAACTTTGAGGACATATGCTAAATGAAATAAGCCAGTCACAAAAAGATAAATACTGTATAATTCCACTTAGCTGAGGTACCCTGAGTGATCACATTTATAGAGACTGAAAGAGCGGTGGTTGCCTGGGACCAGGGAGAGGAGGGAATTGAGAGTTATTGTTTAATTTCTGTATTATTTTACTTTGGGAAGATTAAAAATGTTCTGGAGAGGGATGGTGGTATGATTGCACAGTAATGTGAATTAACTTAATGCCACAGAACTATGCACTTTAAAGTGGTTAAACAGCAAATCTTTATTGTGGTTTATTTACCACAATGAAAAAAATTTCCTTTAGCATGTCATGAGGTAGTTCTGGTGGATTAGATCATGATATTTTCTTATGTAAATGTTTTCAAATGTTTTTGCCCATACCCTATAGTTAGTAATGTATTTTATATTGCAACCCAGTGCGTGCACACACACAAACACACACACAGTGGGGACAAAAGTTTTATGAAATAAATCATTTTCAACAAGTTGAGTTGCACACATACTTTCTATACATTCCATTTAAACATGCAGATTGATTCATTAATTTATATCATAGCACACTAATGAGTCATAATTTCCAGTTTGAAAAACATTGGTTTAAAGGAACTGGGTAAGGAGAAAGGAGAATAGAGGCAGAAAAAGGGGTAATGGTGGATTACTTAAGTCCTAAGCTTTATTCTGGAATTCTGAAATTAACATAACCTCCTGTTAGATAGATTGAGGGGAACACTGAGGGAAGAGGGGCTTTTGTTTTCACATTTGAAATTCTGGTAAGATATCAGAATAGATATCAAAGCCTCCCCCTGAACCAACCTGGGTAGGGGGAGGTTGACACAGGGAAAGTCAAGTAGCAATGATTAGGAAGAGGTAGAACCTTAGTTTAGCTCTCTTGAACCCATTCAGTTTGAACAAAACATAGGAGTTCCTGCTTGCTCCCAACAGGGATGCAGAAATTATCTGAGAATCTTAGTACGTAGTTTACCAGAGAGTTGCCATGGAGGAAGCTAAGCGACATTTCAGGAGAGATGCAGAGTGGACCACTTGGGTCAGGGACTCAGTGAGAAAACTGGACCTGGCAAGTGAGGTCTATTCAGCAAGGAGATTCAGTGGCTCCTGATTAAGCTAAGAGAGGACAGTCTCCAGGTTCATCAACTGCTGTCTTATCCTCTTGAAGGATGAGTGTGAATGGTAGCCAAATAGAATAGAAACATCAGGAGATCAGAGCGGCCAGAGGACAGTCCCAAGACCTGTGTTTGAATCTGGGAAACTTTGGCTTCCCTTTACCCCAAGGTCATTTAAGTTCTCCTTCTCCATAAGCCCAGATACAATTTTGGAAAGAGCTGAGGGGCAGGGAGGGGACCTGAAAGGCTGAGCATTGATCCAAAAGAGACCTAGAGATTAAGCTGTGCCAACTGGGGGTACTCCTTGTGTTTTAGAATGCTTTTATGCTTCTTTCTGTGTAATTCTGGATATTTGTCTGTTGTCCTATTTATGCTAGACATAAACGAGTGACCTGAACACCTAGTAGTCTAGTATTACTTACTGACAAAACACTGCAAAATATCAAGAACTCATAGGAGAAAATGGGAGAGGATCTCCCAGGACAGAGTGAGAGTTTTGGGGTTCGCTGACATGCTTCATGACTTTCCCTCAACTTATAGCATGAGGCATTTGGTAGACAGAATTTTAAGAGTGACCCTTAGTGCTCCTCAGCCTTGTACAGTCATTTGCCCTCTGAGTCTGGGTGAAACCTGTAAATATCATATCACTCAAAGTATGAGGAGGATTCAGCTTGTTGTTCTTGGCATTGAAGATGGAGGGTGCCATATGCCAAGGAATACTAGCAGCCTTTACGAGCTGAGAGGAATCCCAGCTTACAGCCAGCAAGGTAACAAAGACCTTAATCTTACCACAGCAAGGAACTGAATTCAGTCACCACCCTTTATGAACTTGGGTGCAGATTCTTCCCTTGTGCCTCCAGATAAGGACCCTGCCCAGCTAGCAGCTTATTTTTGACCTCGTGAAACCCTAAGCAAACAACCTAGCTGAACTATGCTGTACTTCTGATCTGTACACCTGAGAGTAATAAATAAGTGTTGTTCTGAGCTGCTAAAGTTTGTGGTAATTTGCTACGCAGAAATAGAAAACTAATACAAGGCCAAAGGTAGGGTTTTGGAGCAAGCCAAAGTTGGGGAAAATTATGTAATGTAATTACAAGGGAGGAGTTTCATATAATAAAAATGATGCAAACCTTTGAGACAGGTTTGAGGTGCTTTTGCAACTTTGGTTGCTTCAGGATAATATTCAGTCAGTCCCCCTAGCAATGCTGAGCTGATTGGTCTTCAGTTTTTCTTGGATTCCGAAAAGGCCATGATTAATGAGAGAGGAGTAGCAGCATCAGCTAACCACATCATTTGTGACTTGCTTAAAAAAGAAAAAAAACACAAAAATATGTCATGAACATCTCACTGTTCCTATTTGGTATTATAGTGTATCTCAGAGCCCATGTTTATAGACTGATTCTTTTAAGTTGATCATATAAGAAGTTCATAAGAGAATGACTATAGAGTCATAAATTGCATTTTCAAATATAAATTTTTTGTGGGGCAAGTGTTCAACAAAGAACCAAACCTTGGTTATTTATGGAAGTAGCTTTATTTATTTATTTTTGATTACTAAAGTAATCCAGACTTCTGATTAAACATGAAAGATTATGTAGATGCATTTAACTCTTTTGCCACTAAAATTACTGTAAAGGTATCAGAGGTATGAACCCACAAGGAAAAAAAAAGAAAAGAAAGTAAAAGTAAACAAGAAATAGCAACAATATTTTGAAAGTAGAACATAGATGCATGAGTGATAACTGACTTAACAGACCAAAGAAAGGTGAAAGCTAAGACTAGATCTAATCAGCTGGGAATCTGGATCAAATAATGATACTCTAAGACATTCAAAGTCTACAATCTTTTACTTCACATATATAATTTTTCAGAAAGCTACTGAGGATGTACTCTCATATAGTCTACTAAAATGAGAGAATAAGCAAAATAGTAGAAAGATAAGGTTTCCAGAAAATAGGGTTACCTAGGGTAAAGCAGTGTAGCTAGCCTAGGGAAAAGAAGGAAGACAATCTGAAAGAGTATCTTTAAGAGATAGTTGAGAGAAGAATTAAGCTGGTGAAACACCTTGTGTGTTTAAACATGTTGAGAGAATTCTGTGGGATGGCCTGGGGTTTGAATTAGAAATGGCATTTATAAAATTAAACCAACAAAGGACACAAGGCAGTTATTAGCTCCAGTGAAAACAAAAAGTTATTTAAGAAAGAAAATATAGCAATGAACAGTATTTACATGGTTATAATAATATAAACATGAAGGTTTACTTAAACAAAAAGAATGGTATAACTATATGAACAAGAAAAGATGGAAAATCTTATAAATGGGTGTGTCTTTTGTTTGAAATATTCTAAGGGATTGTTGTTTGTACACAGCACCAATAAAAAAAATCTATAAGTACAGAGGAAGTTACAAGAAATGGGTCAAAAATGAATATGGTGAAACAGAGAATTCAAATTTAGCCTAAAAGAGGCCAGGTATTAGAGTAAGAGGAGATACAGTGTTGCCTGATTTTCTAATTTTTCAAAAGAAGATATATCCCTAGATTTTTATGTGAAATATCATGATTTTAAAATAATGGATCAAAAAATTTAAAAAATGTATAGATCAAATAGAACAGCTTTAGTATAAAAAGAGCCAGTTTGCTAACTCTAAAACATGTATAAACTATTGATTTTTGTCTGGTAGTTCCAACCTCATTGTATTATCTTATTTTTTGCAACCATTTTCCAATTGATGTCCTTCATGGTATAAAATCAGATAGACAGTAACTGATAATTTTTCCTCCTTTCCAGTTTCTCTTTTTTATTATCAATTGCTTATCTTATTGAATTGGCTCAAGCTTCTAGAAGAACATTTATCAATAGATCTTTAAGAGAGAACTTAAAACTTTCCTGGAGGCAGTATTTTCCATCATTTTGGTATAAATTTCTATTTTATTGTATTGGCAACAGAGAATTTCATTTTATTTATACATTTTTTCAAAAATTTTGAGGCTTTTTGGTTGAGTCAGTTTTAGAAATGTTCCATGGGCACTTGAAAATAAGGCATATTTCATCTTTTTATAGTGTTGTATATCAACTAGTGACAGACCAAAGTACAAGATGCAACAGTTGTTAAGCTACCATTTGACCAAAACTATGATCCTTAAAAAATGAAATAACAAAGTAAACATTAGTTTAATTCTTCAGATTGCACTTTCAAATTTAAAGAGCCAGTAAAACCCCAAAATAGGGGCTTTCCCGGTGGCGCAGTGGTTAAGAATCTGCCTGCTAATGCAGGGGACACGGGTTTGAGCCCTGGTCCGGGAAGATCCCACGTGCCGTAGAGCAAATAAGCCCATGCGCCACAACTACTGAGCCTGCGCTCTAGACCCCACGAGCCACAACTACTGAGCTTGCGTGCTACAACTACTGAAACCCATGCGCCTAAATCCCGTGCTCCACAACAAGAGAAGCCACCGCAATGAGAAGCCCGCGCACTGTGACGAAGACCCAACGCTGCCAAAAATAATAAATAAATTAAGTTAAAAAATTTTTTAAATACCCAAAAGGGGCTCCAAAGAAAAACATTTCTTTCCTTAAAAAAATTAACATTGTTTTCTATCTGAAATGGTTTTCCCTCTGATGAAAGATCAAACTGTAGATCTCTATGTAGAGTTGCCAGTTCATAATGAAAAGCACTGACACTAGAAATTTAGAATTAGGGCTCATATAACTCAAAGTTTTCAGGCCCGTAGAATATAAATTTTTAGTATAATACTAGAATATTCCAATCACATCAAAAGCCAATGTGGCTGTGGCCTTGTTCTTGACAAGTAATTAATTGCCAAGTTTGCATCAGAAAGCAATGTGATCTTGAAATATGACGTGAGTTTTCTGCTGCTCCCTTGGGTTGTTGACTCTGCTAGTGTGCATTTGGGATGCAGAGGTGGAGGAATTCATAGCTTTGGGTGAGTTTAGGAAGCTTGATTGTGATTATAATTAACACAAGGAGAGACTAAATATTAAAGATCAAGTAGATACATAGGCTAGAAAAAAATCAGGGGAAGTGAACAATGGGTTGTATGCCCAGAAAAAAACAGACTTTATTCATGACACTTCAGGCCAAAATCCAGTTTACTCACATATTGTTTGGGGGACTCCTGAGAAGGAAAGACCTTTCCCCTAGACCTGCATCCTAGTCACAACATACTTTATCTTCTCAGTGATCAGAGCAGGTGAGGGAAATACATCATCTTGCCTTTAGATCGGGGTTAGAAGAAAGAACTAGAAGGGCTATAGGAAAGTGCTATAGGAAAGAGCTACAAAAGTTTGAATTATCTGCACTTTACCCTTTTTACACATAGCTAATATTTGGATCTCTCTGAAAGAAAAAAAAAGTTGAGAGAATGTAAAGTGCTGTCTTTAGAAACTAAAGATAATGAAAATACAAAATTTAACCTGATTTTATAATATAATCCCATGATGTGAATTCTAGGTATACTGCTACAGACTCCTAGAGGTATTTGAGAAACACTGCAAGTCACAACATCATTTGCAATCTTTAAGTCCTCTCACAGAGGTGAAATAGTTTGGAAACTCCGAATAACCAAGTATATTAGTTTCTATTAGCTTCGTGAGGCTATTGTAATAAATTACCACAAACTTGACAGCTTGAAACAACAGGAATTTATTCCCTCATGATCCTAGAGACCAGGAGTTGGAAACCAGTATCGCTGGGCCTAAATCAAAGTGCTGGCAGGACCATGTTCATTCCAGAGGCTCTAGGGGAGAATCATTGTCTCTTCCAGCTTCTGGTGGATGCCAGCGTTCCTCGGCTCTTTTAGCATCTTGAGGCCACCTGTATTCCTTGGCTAATGTCCCCTTTCTCCATCTTCAAGGTCACAACATAGCATCTTCAAATCTCTCTTTCTGATGAGGTTGCATTTTCTTTTCTATCTTTGTCAAATCTCTCTCTGCCTCTCTATTTTAGGGGTTTATGTTATGGCATCTTGGGCCCACCCAGATGATCCAGGATAATCTCATCATCTCAAAATTCTTAATTTAGTCACGTCTGTAAATATCCTTTGTCTTTATTAGGAACATTTACAGGTGCTAGAATCAGGACCTGATATCTTTGAGGGTGCCATTGTTTGAAAAGCCTACCACAGTCCACTGTCAGGCCCCTAAGGATTCACATTTATCCCACATGCCAAATACATTCACTTCAGCCCAACATCCCCACAGTCTCAATCCATTGCAGCATCAAATCAAGTCCCAAATCTCACTTATATATCATCAGCTTAAAAGTCCTAAATCTCATCATCTAAATCAGGTATGAATGAGACTGTATGATTCACCCTGGGATAAAATTCTCCATTTCTGGACCTGCCAAACAAGGAAACATGTTGTCTTCCTCTAAAATACAGTGATGCGACAGGCATAGGGTACCAGTTACAAATGTTCCCATTCCAAAAGGAAGAAAATGGAAGGAAAAAAGGAGTCACCAGTCCCAAGCAATTTTGGAATCCAGCAGGGCAAGTTTCATTAGGTTTCAAGACCTGGTAATAAGCATTTGTGTCTCAAGGCTCCAGCTTCTGTGTTTGAGGTTCCAGCCTCTGGGGTAAATTTTCTTTTTCTTGAAGAGTAGCACATATTTGCAGCTGCGTAGTTTATCACTCTATGATGCTAGGTTCAAATTTTTAAAGTCTTCCTTGAGCAACAAGAGAGGCAGCTGCTCTCAAAAGCTATATCAGCAGTGTCTGTCTTCAGCAATGCTTTGCAAAGTAAGTTTTTATTTATATTTATTTATTTTTGGCTATGTTGGGTCTTCATTGCTGCCTGCGGGCTTTCTCTACTTGCAGCAAGCGGGGGCTACTTTTTGCTTCGGTGCGCAGGCTTCTCGTTGCAGTGGCTTCTCTTGTTGCGGAGCATGGGCTCTAGACGCATGGACTTCAGTAGTTGTGGCACATGGGCTCAGTAGTTGTGGCTTGCTGGCTCTAGAGCTCAGGCTTAGTAGTTGTGGCACATGGGGTTTCTTGTTCTGCGGCATGTGGGATCTTCCCGGACCAGGGCTGGAACCTGTGTCCCCTGCATTGGCAGGTAGATTCTTAACCACTGAACCATCAGGGAAGTCCGCAGAGTAAGTTTGAATATGAGGATTTGGTTAAGATCACTGTGTAGAAGACTTGCCTGCTCAATAAGCCACTTGTTGAAATGTCACCCAGCAGTTTAAAAAGGGGTTAAGAATTCAGGCTGGAGAGACAAGTCAGATTGAATTGGGGTCTTGTCCTTACCATTTACCAGCCATTTATCATTTTTTCTTTTCTTTTTAAGCTTCAGATTCATTTGTAAAAGGGAAAAACTCATACCTAGCTTATAGGATTATTATAAAGACTGAATTAAATGGGAAAGGTGTTTGGCATATAGAAAGTGCTCAATAAAATAGCCCTAAGATTCATCAGTGTGCTAATCTGATCTGTCAGCACATTCCAGTGACACGCTGGGCTCCACAATGTTATCAAAGATACTGCATGGTTTGAAGAGTTCTTTACAACCTAGAAAATATCTACATTAATAAGAATAATTCTCATATCTTTATAATATTTAAAGAGCTGTCACAACACTGTCTCCTTAAATACAACCTTTTATTAAGGTATAAAGTTTAATACTAATTTTGCATTTGAGAAGGAAATGGTGGCTTAAAAAGGGTTGATGATCTTCCTATGTTTGCATATGTGTTAATGGTTTATCAGAAAAAGAAAACAGGAGTAGGCTTAGCCAGACAGCATTCCTAAGGTTGGAGACACTGAGGGAGTTGGGGGCACAAGGCAGCCCGCACACCCAATGATATGCTTGTCAGACAACACAGTAAGTGATTTAACGTCAGCTTACAAGCATGTCTGCTGACGGAGTCCTTAATATAAATGCATAGAAGTAAAAAGTCATTGAAGAGCTTCAAATCAGTGTGTCCTATTCTTGGTTCCTCTCGTAGCTATCTCATGAATTAATGTGTTTTTGGCAAGACCAAAGTCAGCACCTGAAATCTTAAAATCTGTGGTCTGAATCGCTAAGAGGATGTTCCAGAACCCCAACAAAAGAATGGAAAGAGCTGTTGCTTTTTAAATGAATAACTCATGTAATTCCATTACATAAACCTAACCAGTATTTGACCATGTATTTTATCCCCAGGTGGCTCACTTATTAATGATTTATTGGAGTTGAGCTCTGTACACAGAGACTAACCAGCCCACTACCTCATTTACTTTTGAAGTAAGTAAGGGACTTACTTTCCAACCTGCTTCTGATGTTGTGCTTCATAGAGTGAGTGTAACTGCCATGACAGCTTGTTTGGAAGGCCGTGTTCAAGCAATGTGCTCTCACACTTCCCATTTCACTGCCCAGTCTACTGCAGTGGCGTCCCACTCACCGAGAATTTCCACAGGCCCCCGACGTCTTCGCCCTTCTCAAAGCAGGTGGGCTCTAGCCCCTCTTCCAGGCAGCTCCTGATGGAGGCCAAGCCACTGATGCCAGCTCCAATGATGGCCACTTTCTTCACCATGGTTGCCTGTGCAAAGGCCCAGGGAACATTTCCAGCAACAGTATTGCTGAAGACTCATTTTTGGATTTTTTTTTGGTATCACTTTTTGGCTTAATAAGAAACTTTGTTTTTGCACCAAGAAAAGCAATATTAAAAGAAAATAGATCAGAACTTTTTTTTAGTCATCTAACTATACTTTGCATTTCTCTTTAATTTCTAAAGAGAATATTTTTTCCTCCCAAAAGAAACACTTTGTTTTCAGTCAACTCTCCAAAATTAAGAGGCTGGTGATCTGGCAAAATATTTGTCCTCTTTGTCTTTGGCCTTTTGTCAGTTACTCTGTACTAGAGACAGTAAATGGGAGAAAGAGGAGATTCACCACTAAAACACATATACACACACTTATACCCACAAACATTTATGTATGTATGAAGGAAGAAACAAATATATATGTGTATGTATATAAATGCATATACATACACACATATAAACACACACACATATTTATTTCTTCTCTCTACTTTAACATAAGCCTTGAGGAATAAGGTCTGGTTATGTCTGTGTTTTGGTATGCCAGGAAGTCACCCTCTTTTCTCCCCTAATAATATTCTTCACCTTCTCAATTAAAAAGAAAAGTCAAGTCTCTTTATCTAAAAACAACTTCTTCCCACTAGCTGCTACCCTCAACCTCCATTCTCTTCTAAAAAAAATTGTTTCCTAATCTTTTCCTATTCCTGACAATATCTTTAGACCTGACTATTACTTTTCTCTGTTTTTTTCTTTTTAGACAAAATCACATAGACATGCAGAGAAGTAGATTTGGATGACAAAAGTCATAACCTTAATTCTCAGAAAATAAAAACGATCTACTTGAATTATGCGTCATTCTCATTTGGGCCATATTTGGTATAAATATAGCATATGCGCCTTCTCCATTTACCAGTCCCACTCCCCTCCCTCTCACATCATTACAGTATCATCCTTGTTTTCTTTTTCTACCTTTTCTTTATCTTCTGTTCTTCTGAAGGTTTAAGTCTTGTCCAAGATATTTGGGCAGTTTGAAAGAAAAAATGCTTCCCTGAACCAACACTCTAGGGGGGATTATTGCAAAATGGGAGGAGCTGCTCTTAAAGAGGAACTCATTTCCCAGTCCTCCAGCAAGTGAGGACACCATCAGCTCCCTGCCAAGGGTGGGGCTCTGCTCTAGTCTCTTGGCTGCCCAATCCCTGCTTTCCCTTTAGTCCTAGTAAACCCAATCTATTGCTTACACTCTTGGACTCTTGGCCTGGGACTCAGGCATTTGTCCCAGATAGATGACTCTGCAGTTTTCTGCTCCATTTTATGATGTGTTCTTCAAAATTTACCTTATTTTTCTCATCTTTAATTCTTCTCTGGGTATCTCATAGTAGCCCCCCAATACTGTTGAAAACTAGCTGTTTAATTGAGATATCCCAGCAGTGAAGATGGGTTTTCTCTCTTTCCTCTTATCCTCTCTTTGGACCTTTGTGGTCAAGGGCCTAGATTTCTCAAATTTGTATTTCTTTGATTCTGCTCAGTGTAGTCATGGAAAAGATCAAATTCCATAAATTGATCCATTAGCACAAGGTAAAATTATGTTGGTGATGAGACTAAATAAACTGCACTTAACTCCCGGTCATGAAGTATATTGAAGTTTCTAAAAATTGTTTCCCTACCAACCATATTCCTCTATCACTGAAAATGATGATACCTCAATTATTTGACTCAGTGAGTCCCCTCATTAAGCAGGTAATACTTAGCATAAACTGGCATATATTTAATTCTGGAGGAATTGCCTTTTTATGTTTTATGTTTCTTGGAGGTGGTGATGCTCATCTATAAAGTAAATGTGGTGAAGTGGAGAGTCAGAGACACTTCAAATCTTAGTTCAGTCACTTAGAGCTGTGTGGCCTTGGGCAAGTCATTGAACCTCTCCAATTCTTGTTTTCTTCATTAATAAAATGAGGATACTATCTATCTTGCTCAATTGTTACAAGGCTTAGAGGATATATATATATACACACACACACACACACATGTGTTTATATCTATACACTTATATATATGCATATGTAAACCTGGCATGTAGTTAGCAATTACCAAATGGTAAAGATATGTTGCAAGTAAAAATTTTTTTTTTTTTTAATCACAGGCTCACTAAATTTTCTAAGCTGCAATTTGGATCACATGTTTTTATCTCCTCTCATTTTACATAGAGCTCTTTTTAGTTTTTAATGCTACTCAAACTATAGTGATTATGGATACCTTCCTTAGGAAGCAGTACCATTCCTGTAGCTTTATTCATCTAAGGATGAGCAGGACACACCCAATTCTAGCTTGCCCTCTAATGCTATTGTCTCTCTCCACAAGGTAGAAAAAGCTACTCTTCCCAGTTCTTCCCTTTGCAGGAGTATATTTCATCTGTAACAGACCCATTTATTAACCCCAGTCCCTCTCCTGGATACCTCTGCCTAGTTTTTACTTGCTGCATCTTTCTGCAAAGCCCTCTTTCATATTCAGAATGCCAAATGCCCAGGACCTGGCTGGGGGAGTGGCCACTACCTGCTTCATTGCCCCTCTTTTCCACACTCTTTTACATGGTTTCCTTCATGTTCTCTGGAGTAGGGCTGGGTGAGAGAGAACATTAGGAAGAACGATTTAGCTTAGAGCATGTGGCACCCCAAGGAGGCATCCCTAGTTATTCATAAGATTACACTTAAT